TGCAATCTCCTTCGTAAAGTGATATCTAAAGTCTTGGTGTGAAGAATAAGACCTCACTAAACACTTTTATTGAAATTATTCAAAGTAGTTTTATTCCTAAACTTTGATAATGCTCTTATAGTCCAAAAAAATATTCATCATATATACAAGAAGAAAGGTAAATTAAGTTATCTTTTGTTTAGAATTGATTTAGAAAAAGTTTATAATTGTGTTAATCAGGATTTTTTTTATGGTTAACTCTCTAAATTTGACTTTCTGATATATATTATTAAGTGTAATTTAAGTTGTGTATTTTTCAATTTATCGTTAAAATAGAATAGGGAGAAGCTTGATAATTTTTCTCCTACATGTTGCTTAAGACAAGGTGACCTTCTATCACCTTATATATTTGTGTTATGTATGGAGAAACTAGCCTTATTGATTCAAGAGAAAGTTTAAGAAATTTTTGTATCAACCTATTAACAGTTCTACGAATGGACTAACAATTTCACATTTATTGTTTATTAGCGATTGTTTATTTTTTTACAAAACTTCTTGCTTTTAGGTCAGATTGGTTCAAGAAGTCCTCCATATTTTTTTGTCAAGCTTTTGGTTTAAAAATTAATGCTGAAAAATCAAGGTTTCTTTCTTTTAAGAACATCCTTTGACAAAAGTATTTGATGTTTGCTTCTATTATTGAGTTAATATGACCTTGAAAAAATACCTAAGATTTTTCTTATTGGCTAGCTAGGATATTAAAAGGGATTTCCAATTCATTATTGATAAAATTAACTCTATGCTAAAAAAGCATATCTTAAACAAGGCTAGTCATGTCACTCTTGCTAATTAAGTATTATCTTTTATACACATTTGCACTATACAAAATTTGTGGCTACAGGGAGCTATAAGTGACAAAATTGATGCTTTCATTCGAAAATTTATTTGGTAAGAAAATTTTAAATTAAATTCCTCTTAGAGTTTAGTTAAGTGGGATATCATATCAAAGTCTTAAAGAAATGACGAATTGAGTGTCTATAGAGCTTAAGAAAAAAATACTTCTCTTATAAAGAAACATGTTTGGGAGCTAATTCACAATACTAACAAGCTTTGAGTTCATCTACTTCACAATAAATATTTTCATAGCAATAAGTTATTGAATACAATAATTTTTAATGGGTCTTCTTACATGTGGAGATCAATGTTAAAAGTTGTTTCTTCCTTGAAAGATGGATTTCACATTTGTATTAGTGATAAGATTGTTTTTCTATGATATGATAGATGGTTAGTAGTGAATTATTTATATATTAAACCCTTATTTTGCTTCCTAAGATAGTAAGTATTGAACATTTTAGTTTCTGCAATTTTAAAAAGTTATAACAAGTGAAAGTTGAGTTAGTCAAGAACAACATCATTTCATTATTCAAATAATTATGCCCTCATCTTCAAGTTCATATACAAGCACATATAAAGATCATGTTTTGTACCAAGGAGTCAAATATCATTCATCCTTGAAATTAATTAAGGTTGAGGAATATGAATAATATATCTATAACACTCCTTACCACACAATAATTATTTGGCTCGAACCATCACAATACATAAGCAAACTTTATACAAGAAAATTTATGTTTATTTAGATAAATAGGGGATGGGTTTCTACTAGTCTTAATAGCACAAAATCTACATCCAACATGTGCAAGTGTCCCCAAGAAGCATGATTATTACAGTTACAATGTTATCATCACCTTTATTCTAATGAACAAATCATTATTATTATAGTCATGAGGCACCCATTACCTTTACAAACTAGCATGAATTAGACTCCTTAGAACTAGCTGTAGCTAGTGAACTTAATAGACATCAAGATCTAGATACTTGGTTGAACATTGAAGATGATAACTTGTAAGATATTGATGTGGTTGGCTTAGCAATGAATGATTTGTCTACTATGTTAGAATTCTTTTACTCAAAGAAAAGGAGAAAGTTACAAATAATAGTGTTTTGGCCATATTAATTGATTTGAACAAACTAAACATTTTTCTTGGTTAACTCAACTTTTACATTTATCACTTAACATGATATGTCAACATTTTATTATTGTGTATTGATAATGTTTGAGCTTAGGAACTAAAACGCTTGATAGAGATGGAAGTTAAAAACTAATGTGACATTTTTAAAATTTTAAGAAATAAAATGTTTGACTTTTACTATCTCAAGGACCAAAATAGATGTTCTTTATGCTATTACTTTGATCTAAGAAAGAGTTAATTGGTTTTATCATTTGACTCATGTAGTTCATGTTATTAAATAATTGATTGACAGATATTGAACATTATCTTTCTCTCATATGTTATGTGAAGAAAATAGTTGTGTTGATTGGATAGTTAAACAAGGATCTTACGCTAATGATTATTTTCATCATTAACATCTTACTCTTTAACAATTGAGTCTCCTCCTCTAGTTTATAAACCATAAAAGTTGTTCTTTTAAAATTGTAATTATTGTCTTACTTTTTGATTAATAAAAATAAATATTGTGACTGAATTACAAATTTATCCTATTTATCTTGATTCAAAGTTTGTTTAGCTCAACTCATTTGACTTAAACAAGTGCACGTTATTATATTTATGATAGAGAAATTGAATTTTGATATATTGATATTTATATTATTAAAGAATATGCTATGAGAAAATAATTTTATTCACAATTTATTTTACCATAATTGTTTTAATAAAAGAAAGGAAGAAAATAATTTGATTCTATAAACCATTAAAAGTTTCTAAAATTAATTTTAGTGACATGTACTCAATACAATGTGTGTTAGTATTGAATAAGTTGTCATTAAATTTTTCTTAATTTTTTTGCATTTAGTTCTTCTATCTTGTTTATTTTTAATTTTTAAATTCTAAAAATCATTGAATTTTAAATTCAAACCCTCTTTCAAAATTTTAAGTGGTTATTTATTATTTTTAAAATTTTTCACTATCACGACATTATAATAAGATAAAAAAATTAACCATGCTAATATTATATTTCTTCCATCATTTAAAAGAGAGTCATATAATCTGCTTTATATTTCTTTTTCGCCTTAAATGGATCATGATGAACTAAAAAAACTCTTTATTTTCATTTTTGTATTTTTTTTTTAGTTAGATTATTTACATATTTGTGAAAATTTATGGAGAGAGATTAAATAAGACTTATTTAGTTGAAGGTGTGTTTACTTCATCCCTTTTATTTCACACATTGATTTAAAAGTATTAAAATTAATAAATAAATTATTTATTGATCTTCTTAGAATAAATTATTTATTGATCTTCTTAGAAGTTAATGTAAATAAATCCACTAAAATTTGTCAACGTTCTTTTTTATATTTTTTATATTACGATAGAATGAATTTAACTTGTTATTTCAATATTTTTTCAAAACATTTATCAGACCTGGTATCTAATGCAAAATTTCATAATAAATATGTATAAATTAAGTTTAATATGAACTATCTACAAGAGTAGGAACAAATGTGACGTATAGTCATAAAAATAATCAAACAATTTATCCCTTGTTGGTGCGCTAATTTTATTTCTGTTGTAGGTGGTTAGTTGAATTATTAATTATTTAATAATGTCGTAGTATTTACTGTTATATATGAGAAAAATAAGACAATTTTTTTTAGTAAAATATTTTGGATGTCAATCATCACAATTAGTCGTGTGTATTCAGTATTACTATTTTTGCAAATAGAACTAAAGAGACTAATGTGCAATTGTTATAACAACTTTTTCAAGCAATGAAAGTTACTATTAACTACAATGGTATTTTCATGTGATATACAACTCTAAATATATGATATTTTTTCTTTAAATGAGATTTCAATTCTAGAACGGTTTTATTAGATATCTTACACCAAAAAAACCATGAGTTATATGCATGAAATACAAAAGATTGTTTGGCTCGATATAATTAATGCTTTATATTTTTGGGTATGACAATATGATTAACGTTTTACTTTTTTTTTACGATGATATTTTTGTTTCGGCCTCCCTCAGCTTTCGCAGATGGGAGAGAAAGCCTTTTCCTATTGGATCGATCTTTTACACTATTGTATACGAGCTTGGCCCAATGTATTTAGATAACTGATTTTGGGCTTCACTGCTTTTCGGATAAAATACGTTTTAATTTCTTCTTCACATATTTTCAGTTTTCTCGGACCAATGACCACACACACACACACACACACACACATTTGTTTTATAAATAAGTAACAATAATGATCAAACACAATAAATATTTTTATTATTAGAAACAACGCAGGTAATAGCTTTAACTGTAATCACAAGGGAATAAACGAAAAGAAAATTCAAATATAAATGCTAAAATTCTTTGCAATAGTTCGTTTATTTACTTAATGATATATCTAACTACCATTTGTTATTACAACAAAATTACATTTCTAAAATATAAATTTCTTACTGTTGTATTATTATATTCTCTCAAGAACTAATTCGTCATAACTTTCTATCAAGAATCAAGCTACAAATTTTAAAACTTTGACCCTGTTTACCTGGATAGTAGATCCCCAAGTTCAATGTGTATCACATATTATTTTAATTATTAAACCAATGTTTAATATTGTTTAGATTATCAATGGACCCATTTTAGTTGGTACAATTGAAGATTTCCTTTAGATACATTATACATTGAGACCATGACAGATTTATATGTAGACACACTATTTGAGAATGACATTAAACAAAAGACTAGCTGCTTAGCTGTAATTTACATCCTTGTACAATTTCTGACTAATGGCTCCAATGGAATTGATTTCTATGCATGCAAGAACACGCTATTTTGGGAAACTTTTCCATAATTAAAATATGTCAATTTTTATAACGAATACACGAACAATAAATAAATAAATAAATAAATAATTAAGATAAAACGTATTATTTTGATCAACTAGATACAACATGAATGCATTAAAAATAGTGTTATTTGACAGTATAATAGGATTGTTTTTCCCATAACAGATAACTCCGAAACTACTATAGTGTATACTACAGATATTACTGAAAGTCATAACATATCCCTTTCAAAGTCGTCATCTTTTGCTGCTTCCTCATTAACAATGCCGAACTCAACCCATTTCTTTGTCTTGCAGAATTTTATGAAGAAGAAAAGGCCTATCCCAGCTACGGTCATCACACCACTAACCAGATAAACAGTTTTTGTAGCTATAACCATTATCAAAATCAGAAACCCAGATGGTATCAAACACATTATCACAAGCAATGGGAGCTTCAAAGGAATCCGATAAGGCCTGTTTCTAGTGGGTGACTTCCATCTCAACCAAAGAAATGAAGCAAATTCCAACAGCATGCCCAAACTGTACAAAAAATTCGCAGAGGAAATGATATCTGTGAAGTTCATGTAAGAAACTCCAATTGTTATCAAAGTAGACACCAAAATACCTAACCAAGGTGTATTGAACCATTTGGACCGAACCCCAAAAAATTTAGGCAAAATCCCTATCTCAGCCATGCCCAGAATCTGGTAAGCACTGCTACTTAATTGTGCTTCAAATAATCCAATTGCAGACAACACTGCCCCAACTTCAATCCAAATTTTCAACCATTTCCCAGCAATAATCTCTGCAGCTTGTGCATGGAACCCAGTTTCCCACTCACTCTGGTCCACAGAAACAGACCCAGTAACAGCAAAGAGTGGAATCAAGTAAGAAACACAAGTGAAGATCACAGCAACAAGAAGAGCCAAAGGAAAAGTCTTCTGGGGTCTATCAACTTCCCCTGCTAAAGTACTAACATTGTCCCAAAAATTCAAGTTCCAAAAAAGGGTATTGAAGAACAAGTTCCAATCTTTCTTGACACCCTTCTGGCCCAAACTAACCCATCTACGCGGTTTAATCTTTGGAATGGCAATAAGAGACATTAACACAAAAGGAGAAAGAGAAACAATTGCAAGCAAAACAGCAACATACCCAACAATTGTAAGACCAGTGTAATTCAGAAAAGAGAGAGCAAGCGTTGACCCAAGAATTGCCACGTAACGAGGCCAACCAGAATCAAAAACGGGGAAGATTTTCTTGACATAGTCGATGCAGAGAACGGGAAAAGAAGCAATGTTGATGACACCGCTGAGGAATTTCCACGTGCCCATAAGAGAGCCCCAGATTGGACCGAAAGCCCGTTCGGCCCATATGACGAAACCACCGTTACCGGGAAAAGCGGTAGTTAACTCGGCGGTTATGAGAGCTTCAGGGATACTCCATATGAAAGGGAATATGAGGAATCCAAGAAGGGCTAAAAGGGGACCCGCAGCTTGAACCGCTGGTTCTTCGCCATAAGGACCACCCGCAACTTCGAAATAGATGAGAAATATTAATGGGATTAGGGTAAGTTTCTTTGAGTTTGATTTTGTGTTTGTGGTTGTGGTTGTGGCGGTTCTGGTAGCTACAGAATGGTCTTCTTCTTCACCCATGGCAGGTTACTGCAAAAGCGAGAAGAAGATGGCTCGAATAACAAGTGTGCATTCTTTTAAAACGATTCTCTTTTATCAACGCTTAACACGTGCTTGGCGTGCGGACCCTAACTCAATTATCAATAAGCTCTTGAATTTTAAATGCGAGTACGGAAAAAATTAAACGCATTTAATAAGCTTTAGGTGTAATAATATATTTAGTTTTTAAATTTTGATTGATTTCAAATATTTTTATATTCATTTTTAATTATAAAAATTAGCTATGAATAACATTAAAAAAATTATATATTACTGATTAAAAGTTTCTTTCTGCTTAATTTTCTTTTTATCTTAAAAAAAAATTCAAAAGAAAAAATTAATTTAAAAAGGATAAAAATAGGGGTTAAATAAACGTTCAAAACAATAGTTAAGGACAAAATTGATCGCGGAAGGGCTTAGTTCGACATAGAGATCAAGAGCATATATATATTAATTTATTTTGATACATGAATCGCAGTATCAGGTGCGTAATGTTGATATATAAACTTTTAAATTTAAATACAGTTTTCGAATCAAATGTCATTCTTTTGAATCAATTTGTCATTTACCAACTTCTATTCCAGTGATTAAAATATATATATATATATATATATATATATATAAAATAAACTTTTTTGGATGGTCAAGAACAAAAGAAATCAAAACGAACGATGTTTGAGTATTTTAAATAGATGTGCTTAAAAAAGCCGCATAGAATATTAAATCTATCTCTATTATATATTCGTTAAACCTAATTTTTGAGAATAAAGCACTTTTTAAATTTACTTTCTTTTATATAATATATTCTATCTATGTAAAGAGTGCAATTTACTTTTTAACGTGAGAATATAGAATTTTTTTTTTAACTTTTTATATTTTGTTATTATGTATAACAGTCTATTTTTATATAAAAATTAATTTATTTAATTTATTCCTATTTAATATAAGAAAATATTTATTATAAATAATACAAATATTAACCTTTTTCTCATTTTTTTTTCTTTCTGGTTTATTTTTGAGATCTTTTTAGCAATGTTTACACTATACAAGAAGCTTAATTAAAATAGATTAAGGGTTATAAAACAATATGAAAAACTTTAGCTTACTTGTTATATCCTGTCATGCTTGTGGTAATAATCAATACGGAAGTTTGGTTAACCAAAGAAAGTACAATTACGACTCTCTCTCGTGAATACAAATATAATTCTAAATTTTAATATAATATTTTTGAATTATATTCCTTAATAGTTTTTGTTATAAATATTATTATTTTTAAGCTTTTCTTTAAAATGTTCACATCTCCACAGGGCGATTAAACCGTGCAAAGAACGATGATGAAAGTTGTAAAAACAAAGGGAATCATTAAAATTTGACTGTCAACTGAAAGAATTACAAATTAAAATAAATTAAGATATCGTGACTTTTCCCCCCAACTTGTCATGTTTTAAATTATTAAATGCTTTCTTTAGCAATTGGTCTATCGGCATGAACATGAAAGATTGGAGATGGTTGGCATTTATTTGCTCAATTTTGTTTCAATCCCCACTCCCTTCCTTAAAGGAAGAAAAAAAGCAGCATCATAAATTGTGCCCATATAAGGTACAAAACTTTGTTTAGTCTAACATGATTAACGTTTTTTTTTATCTTACAGTATGATCAATGTTTTTTCCTTTTTTATTTATGTATGATTTTTGGTTAGAGCTTTCAAAAAATTTAATTATTCTAATTTGGTAAAAAAGTTTAATAAATTAACAATTTTATGAACTAAAAAGTCCACAGAATTAGAATTAGAGTTAGAATTTTGTGATTAAATAAAATTATTAACGTATACATCAATGACTTACATAATAAAAATTGTCTAATTTGTAAAAATTTATATATAACTAATGTGTCTTCAATATTAAATAAAATTAAGATCAAAGTAAAATTCAAAAAATATTTTAATTTATTATATATAACTAAATAAAAGTTCTATCATAATAATAATAAAAAATTATTATATATATATATCAATACATAAAACTTTATTATTATTAAATAATAGTGATATTTTTATATATTATTCTCTAAAATTTATATTTATAATCCTTAATTGAATTAAAAAATTATTTATAATTCATTCAAAACTCGTTAAGATGTTTTTTATAAGTTTTTTTTTTGTACGTTAATGTTTCTTACTTATTATTGTTTTATATAAAAAGAAATTGTTTTACATGCCATTTATTATCAATGCATGCATCTCAAAAAAATATTATATTTTATTATTTAGTATAATTAAATAAATTATTTTTATTAAATTATTTATACTAAATTTATTGGTAGTTAGGTAGTAATACAAAATGAAATCAGTATATTTTTTGTATCTATTTTTTTATTTTTAGATATAAATCTATATAATATAATTCTTTGAATAATTTAAATTTAATATTATTTTTTATTTTATCATAAAATTATAATATTTTAAGTCGTAATTAAGTTAGTTATATCATCCAGTTGGTATAGTGTAATACAATGAATGGTAAAGAAACCACAAAAAAGAATTTAATAACAATAACATTTATTTTTTACTATTTTTAAAATTTTTCTATTGTGTAAGTACATATGTAAATTTAGAAACACGTTTTATAATGATATTTATTATTCATACAAAGTTTACATCATAATTTATATATTTTATGGCAATTTTTTAAAATAATTAACCAGAAAACTAATAAAGTTAAAAGAAACCTATTTTAAAGATGAACAATTTTAAGTATGTGTATTTTTTCACATAACAAATAAGTGAACGTTTTAAAATATATTAAAAATTTAATAATTATGACTAAAAAATTTAACTATTAATATTAAAATAAACACATTTATACATATATTCAATTAGGTTATAAAATTTTTATTTTTATTAATTTTTAAGATTAATTTTAAATATTTAATAATAGTATTTTCTTAAAAAATTATTTTTATATGTTTAAAATTAATGATGTTAATAGTTTTATTAATTAATAATAATATACTTTGCAGTGTGTTTAATTTAATTTTTAGTTAAAATGACGCTATATGAAAATAAAAAAACTAAAGAAAAGGAAAAGAAAAGGTTGAACTATCAACAAATGCACGTTTAATAACAAATGCATATCTAAATGAAGATTTATATTTAATTAAAAATTTAGAATGATAGATTTTGAGTGTTTTTAGGGCCAAAAATAACTCAAAGCTATATTCAGTTTAGCTATTAAAGCTATCTTCATTTTGACCTACATATTTTAAGTCTAATTAATTTTTTTTAATTAGTATAGTGGTAGACTTAAATAAATTATTTTAAAATTAGATAGGATTGGTCCTTAAACTAAAACTCTTTTTACTGGCTCTAGTTTTGATTAACGGTACCATTGTTGTTAATCATTATTACAATTTTGTTCTTTTTATTTTTTGTCAACAATTTTGTTCTTTTATTATTATTTTTTATCTCCAACAATTTTGCTCAGTTATTGGGTTATTCCTATCATACGTTTTCCTATCGGATCTAGCTTTTACACCATTGCATACGGGCTCGGCCCAATATATTTAGGTAACTGTTTTGAACCACTTTTTTTCAGAAAAAAATAAAACATTTTAATTTCTCCTTCACATACATTGAAATAAATTTGTTTCATTAATACGTAACAATGCTAATCAAACAATAAATAATTTAATTTTTGAAAACAACAGCAAGCAAATGATTTTAAATGTTTTTTTTTTTTAAGTAAATGAACTTGTAAAACTGATTAGTAAATAAAGAAAAATGAACGGAACTTGTAGTTTTTGAAAGTTATTTTTTTAAAATTTATCTAAAAAAATATTTAGCTTTTAAAAATTAACTATCAATATTTTTACTCTTTTTTTTCAAAAATGACAACTTTTCATTTACAAAATTAAAACTTTACACACACACACACTTAATATTTTTACTCTTCATTTTTTTAAAATGACAATTTATCATTTACAAAATTAAGACTTTATACACACACACATCTTCTTGAATGTCTCATTTCTTCTTTTTTCTTCTATTTTTTTTTATATCCTTTTATCTAAATTATTTATATTAAAAAAAGTATAACTTAAAAATATTTCACGATCAAAACATATGTAAAGAGAATTTTTTTTATTTTTTATATAATTATTTAATTAATTAATTGATAGTAAATAAATAAAATAATATGAATAATATCTAATTTTAATATTATATTATGAATAGTATTACATGTCTCTTATAATCATTTAATACAAATTAGTTAGTTATAATATGTTGCACAATTAGTTTATCAAACAATTTTAATTTTATAAACTATTTATACATTTGTAAGTTTTTAGCTACAAGTTCATATATAACTTTTAACTAGCTTAACAATTAAAGTGATTTTAAGTTCTTCTTACCATGACTTTTATTTATTTACTTAATTATATATCTAACTATCATTTGTTATAACAATATAATTACATCCCTAAAATATAATTTTTTTGCTAAAAATAAAATAAATTTTAATTGTTATATTCTTTTAAGGAAAAATTAGTTACAACTTTCAATAACAAGAATCAAGAAGCAAATTTTAAAAAAAATTGACTCTGGTCACTTGGACAGTCTAAGTTTAACCTGAATCACATATTATTTTAATTATAAATTTTGTATTGAAACTAATAATAGAAGGAAATGAGTTTCAAATGCTTATAAAGTGTAGAAAAAGAAGTGAGGAGAAAATTCATAATACTATAAGGCAAACAAGAAGAAATGTTATTGATTAAATTATTTTAGTTGATAATTTTAATACACTCCACTTATGATTATCTCTGTGTCATAGGATTAAAAACCATTTTCAACTTTAAATATTTTTCTTTGTATGTCATAATGATGAATTTAATGTGAAGATGCTTCTTGTTAATTTTTTTTATAGCTTCAATTAAATTAGTATAATATCTTGATCCATTATTCATGTCATTCATTGCACTCTCACCATGTTTCACAAAA